CAAATACTTGTCCCACTCACACCGAGATACTAACCGTTGAATCTGTACAGGTGAGTGAGGAAACTGTCCTTCCGTTGATAACTAACCTCAAACCTGGTAAGATACCGGGCTCTGACGGGTTACATCCACGGTTGCTGTCATCTCTTGCGGACATTATTTCAAAACCGCTCGTGACACTCTTCAACATGTCCCTTTCGCTCGACTCCCTAGAGATTGGAAGGATGCTATAGTCAGTCCTATATTTAAGGAATGTCAGAGACATATAGTATCTAAATACCGGTCTGTTAGTCTAACTAGCATAGTCGTTAAGTTACTTGAAAAGATAGTTCGGGTTAGGTTGCTAAGCCACATAGATTTACACAATCTGTTAGCTCCTGAGCAACACGGATTTCGTAACAAGCGTTCATGCTTGACTAACTTGCTTATTGCGTAAGAGGATTGGACAGCAGCCCTATATAACGGTCTGTCGATCTGATATTCATAGATTTTAGCAAAGCATTTGACAAGGTTTCACACTTAGGTCTTATGCAGAAGCTCACGAACTTCGGAGTAATAGGTACTGTACATGAGTGGATAGGAAACTTCTTATGTGACCGCAGGCAGAGAGTGAGGGTCAACGGAACGCTATCCGATTGGAAGCCGGCCAAAAGTGATGTATCCCAAGGCACCATCTTAGGCCCTCTGCTCTTCTTTCTCTACGTTAATGAGTTACCGCTATTGCTTAGGTCGTCGACATTATTGTTTGCGGATGATGTAAAAATCTGGAGAACAATAAAAAGTGAGGCTGATCATCTGGATCTTCAAGCCGACTTAGACGATTTCGTTAGATGGGCTCGAGAGTGGGGCTTAGAATGCACATCGGTCACGGTAATAGTTACCGTTATACTATTGATGGTAAACCTCTTCCATGTGCTCAAGAACATAAAGACTTAGGAGTAGTATTAAGTCATGATTTAAAAACAACTACGCATTGCAAAGCAGCCGCGGTCAAAGGTTTTCGTGCGCTATGGCCAGTTCGCCGAGCGTTCAAATCTTTTGACGAGAAAACGTTTCGAATTTTATATCCCATATATGTAAGACCACATTTAGAGTACTGTATCCAAGCAGCTAGCCCGTGTCTCGTAAAGGATACTAACTCCCTTGAGCGTCACCTCGGGTCTTTGTAAAGTCTTAATATCGACGTTTGCTACCTACCCGAGACCGAGACCCATATTCAAGACTTTAGTGAAGTACTACGAATTCGCTCTCCATCTGTCGCCCCAGAGGGCTTGTTTTATGGGCGTTCATCTGGGGACCTTGTGGCAATGTAATGTATGTGAGTGAACTCAAAATTAGTTTCGAGAAAAAAAATTTACGGCTCACCAGATTTGTGGTGGTTCCCAGCAAAAGGAGCTTATACAAAATATATCGATACACTAGGTTAATAATAATATACCAAGAGAGTTAACAGTAAAAACCCTTTGTTTTACTCACAGGCAGACACCTAGGGTTTTTACTGTTAACTCTCTTGGTATATTATTATTAACCTAGTGTATCGATATATCTTGTATAAGCTTCTTTTGCTGGGAACCACCACAAATCTGGTGAGCCGTAAATTTTTTTTCTCGAAACTAATTTTGAGTTCACTCACATACATTACATTGCCACAGGGTCCCCAGATGAACGCCCATAAAACAAGCCCTCTGGGGCGACAGATGGAGAGCGAATTCGTAGTACTTCACTAAAGTCTTGAATATGGGTCTCGGTCTCGGGTAGGTAGCAAACGTCGATATTAAGACTTTACAAAGACATAGCCAGCCCTATCTGTTGTCCGACCTGCATAAGTGTACGAACGTTGAAGGCAGCCAGTTTGAATGATGCACGTGGTTTGAGAAAAACTGTTTCAGTGTTCGTATTTGGTGGTAGCATACAATTTTCAACCGAACAGTGACTCGAGAACGTTTAGATAAAACCGAGTTTCCACCATAGGAGAGCTGCTGTATAAGTCGAAAAATAAGGATACATAAAGTGGGAATAAAAGAGAGTGAATAAGTGACGTAGTAAATAATAATAATAATAATAATAATAATAATAATAATAATAATGATAATAATAATAATATGAATTGTTTGACTGTAAATCGAAGCGAGAATAGAGTTTTCAGTACATGCCATCATTTTCATTATATTTGTGTGTGGGCTGTGATAATGACGGGGTGCCCAGACCGAAGGAGGTGGTTTTTATAAGTAGCCACACCCCGAGCCTTTGACCTAAAGGTATAACCCACAAGGCAGTGGAGCAACGTAAGGAGATGCAGTCCCATGGTAACCGGTGACCAACGATTGGTTCATACGCCGTTTGTTCCATCAGGATACTGGAGCCCATGTGCACCATTAGTTTGTGATCCGGTCAAAGCGCCGGACATTCGCTTTTCGTCCTCTCATTTTCGTAAACAACACCCCCGCCACGAGAAGGCAGTGAGTAGGACTTCCCTGGCAGAGGTTGTATACGTGTGGCCGTGTGAGAGTATTTCGAGCGGGAGGGCGGGCCCGCCCTACTCTCGGCTATAACCAGGGCATTTGGGGGCTTTCATGCTTGAGATCGATACTTGTTGAAATGGTTGCTGGCCGGGCAAAAACCTTGCTGTTAACATGACAGTTTCTAATCCTTCTGAACTCCAGTCAGTATGACTTATCCATATCCTTAGGAAAACAACGAGATGTATTTTAAATCTAATTTCATCGAAAAATAAACTATCGTTCTAAACTCAGTGATATCATTTGCTTGAATGTCTTAATTGATTAGATAATGTAGGCAACAACGAAGTACAAATTCGTTTACTTGGTTTAACTGTACTTTTCCTGTCTCAGTCAAAAATCTAGTACTAGGTGCAAATGTACTAACCCAGTTTGTCACATTTTATATGAACATTGTAAAAGGAAGTTATGATGCAAAACAAAAAAAGCAGCTTTACTAGTCAGTCAGTCAGTCAGTAACAACGTAGAACTTAGTACGTACGTACATCAGTTCGAGTTGCCACACCACCTTAACACAGAGATGCAGTTGTCGATCCAAATCCCGTAGTGGTAGAGGTAGCAAGAGTGTAAGCAGTGGTCGGGAAGATTAGGGTTTGGTGATGTTATTTAAAGAGTATAATTCAGTGAAATAAATTTGGAAAGAGGAAGAAAGGGACATGAAGAATTCAGAAGATTAGAATTTGGGAGAACACAAAGAGTGGATGCACCTGCGCCATTGCAAACGATTTTGAGCCATGTCATTCAGGGTCTCTAACCATCGGTTGCTATCATTTCGCGGTCCCCAACCAGGTAATCGACACCTGCCAACATGACTCAGACCACTTGTCAGTGACTTCATGGATCTGTGTCATGTTTTGATCTGGCCGCCCCTAACTTTCTTCCAACCTACTCCTATACCACTGAACATCGCACGTCGAGGCAGTCGGTCGTTGGGCATACGTAACACGTGTCCCAGCCATCTAAACTGATGAAGTTTCACCACTTCATCAATCGATTTGCCATCCTTACCTAGTACCCGTTTCCTAACAACTGCGTTACTCGATGGTCCCAGGATATACGAGCAATGTTTCGAAGACACCTATGATCGAATACTAGTAACCTACGAATATCCTCTATTCTTACCGGCCATGTTTCACTGCCATAAAGTAGGACAGGACGAACTACTGCGCAGTAAACACGTCCTTTGGTTGATAGACGGATATCTCGCCTACGCCATAAATGACGCAAGTTAGCAAAAGTTAGTCGAGGCTTCTGTATCCGTGCTGAGATTTCGTCACACACCAGACCACAAGGGCTGATGAGACTTCCAAGATAAGTGAAGCGGTCGACACATTCAACTACTTCACTCCCTATCACCAGTTCGGGTGTCGATGTAACCCAATCCTGAAGCAACATTTTGCATTTCGAGGGAGAGAATCGCATCCCGAACATGCTTGCATTGTTGCTTAGAGTGGTCAGAAGACTGCATTTTGTCAGCGTCTTCACCAAATAAAACTATGTCATCAGCATATTCTAAGTCAACAAGTGAACCTCTCGGTAGAAGTTCAACCCTTGGAAATTTAGATGAGGAGAGTGTTACCTCTAAAAGTACGTCGACCAGAAAGTTGAACAAGAATGGAGAGAGTGGACAGACCTGACGAACACCACTTGATGTAATCAATTCTGATGAGAGTTCGCCATAAGCTCTCACTCTACCAGTTGTGTTCGAGTAGAGAGCCTTTAAAAGGTTAATGTACTTCTTTGGTACTCCTTTCAGTGACAAACACTGCCATAGAACCTCACGACCAACAGAGTCGAATACCGCCTTAAGGTCGAGAAATACTACGATTGTGGGGCGTCTAAACGTGTGTCTGTGTTCTAGAACCTGACGTAGTGTGAATATCTGATCTATACAACCACGTCCAGGTCGAAAACCGGCCTGGTTTTCTCTAATCTGCTCTTCACGAGCTTTGATTAGGCGTCGAAGTATTATTGAAGCTAATATTTTAGGCACTATTAGTCAAACTGATTCCTCTGTGATTGTCACAAGAGGACTCTTGTCCTTTCTTAAAAACTGGCACAATCAGTGATTGAGACCAGTCAAATGGGATTACGTCCAGTTCCCAAATTCTACCTAAGACCTCGGTTAATCTCATTGCTAATACTGGACCACCATCCTTAAAAATCTCAGGAGTAAACCTGTCAGGGCCTGCTGCTCTCCCTCGTTTCAGATTTCCTATGGCTTTACTAGTAGTAGCGATAAGTATAAAATTTAAGAACAAGTAATCCATTTAGCGAGTATCTTACGTCTAACCTCAGCATACAATAGCACTGCCCTGCCTTATTGCAATCGACATTGAAACATATCCCCCTTTAAGATACTAAATGAAGTACTATTTAGTGCATACTAGTATTCGTCAGTTATTTGCTACGTAATATTGTCGAAATTCGAGCTCTTTTTTTACTTAGCTAACTATTGTTTCTTTATTGAACACCAAGTAAACAATGTCCATTTTTGACCAATTTCGAGATATTGAACCTGATCGCATCCGCAATAGCATAGTATCAATTATTGCAGGATTTTTATTTGCATTAGGCTGGTGGATAGCAATTGACGCAGCTGTACTTTTCGCTGAAAACAATTCTTTACCTAATGCATATCATACAGCTGGAGTATTCAGCACCATTGCTTTCATATTAATTAACAGTGTTCCTAACGGAGTGGTAAGTTTTAACTATTGGAAATTAATGGTTTTCTAAAGTAGTTTTCATTTCTTAAATGATTGTTTAAAATATGTGTAAACCATAACTAATTCACCGAATACAGGTTTTTCTAGTCGGATTAATATTTACTCGAAATAAATCTCGATTCCAAACCTAACGTTTTCCTCATCATCATTTAGTTCAGTGAAACTGCTTACACGAGACCTAATTTTAGCCATCTAAGACATGTAAGTACAGGTAGAAATATGTTTCCCCTCAGGTATATTCGTGAAGTTGTTTAGCTGTTGAGAGCTTGAAAGAAACTGAAGCAAATTTCTGAAAACTTTGCCGATACATTTGGACTTTTGACTTCAGTTAACCATAACAAACTTAGTTTCATTTGAATCCACAGAAGCAAATTGGAATATGTTTTGCGATACTTAAGAGGAATTTTACAGCACTCGAAACAGGTTTGAAAAGTTCTTTTTGGGGATTTATTTCGAACAAAGATCAGTTATATCATTCCTGTTACTTTACATATCACCATGAGTATTTAAACTAATCTCCTTAGCAAATGTTAGAGTCGACATTGGAGATAAGGGTGACTGTTGACAGACTCTTTTGTTGAAGCAAAGGATAATTGCCAACTATACGGATGCTACAAAACTGAGACCAAACACTTCTCATCCTGCAAATAAGTGACCTGGCGCTGCCTCTCAGCAATAATCGACCATGCAGAATTCGGTTGATGACATATGTTACTAAAATAACAACCGGAGTTAATGTGTTCGCAAAGCTCTAAAATATCATCAGGTACTGAGGTGATATAATTAGATTATGTCTGTTAATGGTAATCGATGGATAAAATGTCAGTGGTCGTTCATCATGTCAACACGGTGGTTGTAACAAGAGTTAATAGTACTATTCCCAGCGGCTATTGACTAGCAAGTCTCAAGGTTTGGAGCAACTAAGAAGTCATACTGACTTGGGGGTATTGTTGAGTATGTTCTGTTCGCTTATCCGTTTAAATAGATTTGTGCAAATTTATTGCATTTTTACGACCTCTTTCCAATATTTCATTCCTGTCCCATTTATAATCAATATACTTTTCGTTCATTCTTAGTCACTGACACTATTCCAGTGCCTTACTCTTCATTATATTCAGATCGTTCCGTGATTGATTTCCTTCTTATGAAAGACTTAGACATGATTATTTAATCCCTTGTGTCCTAAACGTACGGATTTCTTGCTCTAGTTGTTTAGTTTGCTTTGCCATTTCATATGGCTATTCATCAATCATTGTTGCAATCATTTTGTGTTTGGTAGATTTCCTAGAGTAGGAAACACTGGTTAAAGTACTACATTTGTGACAGTTGAGACGTCGCTGTTTTTGTCTGGATATTGCCGAATTTATTTAATGCCAACTATATTAATAACTTGAAGTTGTGTATATAAACGTACAGTCTACCTTAAGTGAGACGTTATAAATCGATTTATCAAACAATACCGAACAAATTATATGGAAATACATCAAATATGTATGACTGTATTGTTTTAGATTTCAAGCTTGTTAGAACTTAACACCGAGATTTTAGCTAAACGCTTTATTGGGCTGTGTATGATACTACCACTGCGCAATTTGAACCAACGACTCAACCACCCAATACGCAACAACATAGATTCGCATTACTTCCGGTAAGGGTAACTTTTACTCGGAAGTTATTTCCCGCTGTATATGATATTGATCACCTGTAGTTATTGAAAGAAATACTCAGGGTGTCGTGCAGATTCATGAGCCATAAATGCAAGTCTCAGGGACGGATATATCTAGTTTCTCCGCGATGTTGAAAAGCTATTCCTCCAAATGATTTTAGTTGAAAGTAGAATTCCTCAACATATCATATGAACACTAATTCTCATGTTGTAGATTTGCAGATTAGGTGGACGCTTTTTGTGTTGTTGAGCTATCTGAGCTAGGTTATTTAATTGCAGAATTCTCATTACCGTTTTGGCTAACATCATCGGCTTTTACCTCAGGTAGTTCCAATTTGTGTTTAATTGTTAATATATGAAAAAGAATAAAGCAAACTTTACAAAGATGTAAGTGGCTATTAACTTTTCTCTTACCTTTTTTATTAGTTGAGAGATGAATTTTCAGACAGTCGTATCGGTCGTCGTGGAGCACTTATATGCCTATTTTTCGCTTTCTCAATGGCATTTAGTAGTACAATAGCTGCATGTTGGATACTATTTGGAGGTTATATCGCTGTAGATAAAACACCAGTATGGCCAGGTGTAGCTATATTATTACAAAATCTACTAATTTGTATATCGTCAATTTTATTCAAATTTGGCAGAAAAGATCTTAGTGATTTCTAATCTGCTTATTTAAAAAAAAATATTATTCTCGCTTGATTGCTCACTCATTTATTGATTCATTTACTTACATTATCGTCATAGTATCAAATGAACAATGAATTTTCAATGAAAAAGCATTTTCTCATTTCATTTACTTCTTGAAAAAAAATATTTTTATTTTCCAATGAAAAAAAAAAGAATTACTTCAAATAAAGTGTAAACATTTTCATTTTGTTGTAACTATGTGTGTATTTGTGTGCAATTATGTGTTTAACATAATTAAACTTTAATACCACAATTGAGAACATATCTATTGTATTCAATTAAATAACATATTCAATACATACAACATTCAATAATAGTCCTTTTCATTTTCGGTGGAAAACACAAAAATGCCTCTACAATAAAAATAAAAAGTTTTAAATTAAAGTTAATTAATATGTGTGTCTGTGTACGTATGTTCTACTGTTATTTTATGAATGATTATTTCACTTACCTTGAATGGGATATTTTTTTCGGCCGAAAAATTGTTGTTCATTTTCTTCTGTAATACACTGGGGATGAATAATTCAATAAAAATGTAAGTAGATAACATTCAGTTAAGATGTTACATAAAGAAAAAAAATTCAGGTGTTTAGCGGCATTATATTTTCTTACATTGTGTAGAATTTAGTATATCTCAGAAAAAGAGCTAAATGATAGTCTTACAATACTTTGTTGTGAAGAGGAAAATAATACTTCTCTTCTATAATGCCGGTCGACGATTACCAGTCGCACAGGATACATAGTAATATACTGAAGAGATTGATTTGTAGATTATGTCTCTGACAACATAGATATCTAGAGTAAACACTTGCAGTAATCCTATGTTGACCATATCACACATATCGCTGTTAGATTAAATATGGTTTAGAGCTGAGCACATAAAAACACTTGATGGATAAGTAGTCTCACGTAATAATGCCTTATAGATATAGAAATAACTTCGCAATATATTTTGAACGCATCTATCAAAAGTATAGGAGAATCCCGAGTGAAACTGTTTTACTGTTTTATCAGCTTTTAAGATCGACAACGGAGATTCTAGTAGTTTTGAAGCAGTTCACAAATAGTGTCTGTCAACTTGAAATTCGTATGAAACGTGTTCAGATTGAAGTACGTTAAGCGCGATCTTCGAAATCATGGCCTATTGTTCGAAAGTCTTATGTTTCTTTTTAACAAATAAGAGCTATTAACATGTTAGAAGTATTTCCTAATTTGTTAGCCTTAGGTGAATAAATAGAAAATTCTTGATTTGTACCTACTTTGCCAGTTATCCAATCATCCCATATAGATGACAATCCTTGTTTCTGCTTCCTTAATAAATCATTAGTTGAGCATATCAGCGTACGACCCTCTCCAAACATGTTTGTATACCAAAATTCCGTAAGCGAGTTCATAACTTCGTCTATCAAAAGAGAATAGCGAATTTATCTAGATTTTAAATGTCATCAAGTATATAAAATCTGGCCATTAAGTCTACAATATGAAAGTTAATCCAAATATTTTATTAGGAAAAAACATACTCCGCGGCAATATTGTCTTTCTTTAGAGAAGAGGTTGCATAGAATGAAGTTTAGAAAGAGCTAGGAAAATTATCTACGGTAACAGATAAAAATGATTACATAAAAGTGCACCTTGTGACTGGGTATCACAGTGGACAACTATAACGACGATACAAATAATGTTTCAATGAATAGGAAATTAAATTTCTGACGTTTCGCTACCTAGTTGAGAGTAATTTTTTCTTTAGGAAACAACTGTTTTTCAATTAAAAAAAATTGAAAATAGTACAAGAAACAAACAGATTAGATCGAATATTCAATGTATATAAATATGTCTGATCGCGCTAGTATCATTTTATAAAGGTAGTAATGCAACGTAGAACATGACACATGCATTGGTTCAGCTTGTCATACCACATTAGCACAGCGAGTTAAAATCCCAGAGTAGTACAAACAGTATCAGTAGTGAAAAAAGTATTTCGTCACTCAGGACTTAGAGTAACGCGAACGTACTTAACGTTTACGATCGTCTCAAGTAGGCGATTCTTAGACATTTCCTCCCATCTAGAGAGGGACGTTTAAAAACACTTAGCACGTCACCCCCTGGGCGACGCTAAACCGAGCCACTACCTAACGCGCCTGCCGTTGTCGAACCCCATGCTCATGCAAGGCGGGAAACTCCCGAGCCGGCGAGTAAATGCGGCTGTACTCGCCAGCCCCTCACCGCAGGCTGGCCGTTTATTTTATGTGCACGATTATCGCACTAACGCTAGGTACCTAGTCGGTACAAGTGCCCAAGTTTCTGTCGTACCTATTGGTAACAGTAAGTCACAAACTACGATGCTTCCACTACGCGCTGCGAATGGCTCAGCCATTCCTACCTATGGTACACGACAGCTCACGGTTAACCTGGGCAACCGATGACAGTATCCATGAACGTTCATCACTGCCGATGTTCTCACAGCCATGCTCGGTATTGATTTACTACAGCACTATGAATTACTAGTCGGTTCACGTAGGCTGCAGCTAATTAATACTTCGTCGAACAACAAATTCATGGGCTCACACAAACGCGTACTGAATCCTAGGCGTCTTTCATTCGCGTGACGATATATTCCACGCTTTGTTCGAGAAATTCCTCCAACTCACTAAACCTCTTGAGGAGGTCCCATCAGTATGGTACACCACATGGCCACCTGCGGACCCCCAGTCACAGCAAGACCACACCGACTGGCACCGGACAACCTAGCTCTCGCTAAACATGAGCTTGACAATTTACTAGCTACTGGTATTATTCGTCTTCCTCACAGCCCCTGGGCCTCACCTCTTCACACGGTGCGCAAAAAGGATGAGGCTAGTTGGAGAGCGTGCGGCGACTACCGAGCATGAAGCGTAGTTATACGCTTTGATAGCTACCCCATCCCCTACATACACGGCATCACTCAAAGGCACGACTATCTTTTCTGTGATCGAGCATATCATCAGGTCCAAATCGCTCTTGAAGACACCGACTCCTTTCGGTCAAACTTTTCAAAGGTTTATCGATAGCATAGTACGAGACTTAGATTTTGTTCAAGTCTATATTGATGACCTACCAGTTAATCACATCATCAAACGTAGATGAACATTATCAACACCTAACACTCCTATTCTAGCACCTTTTGGACAATGGAATGATAGTCGACCCGGACAAGTGTGAACTAGGCAAACCAGAAATAAAATTCTTAGGTCACATTATTAAGCAAGAGGGTATTTTACCTTGTGAGGACAAAGTACGTGCAATAATGGAGTACACTGTACCACCCACACTTAAAGAACTAAAGGCATTTATCGGTCTGGTTAACTTCTACCGACGTTTCATCCCACACGTGGCAGAATGGTTACGACCATTAACCGACTTACTTTACGGTAATCCACGCAAATTGGAATTAAACGATACCGCGCTTACTGAATTGTCAGAGACCAAAACGGCTCTGGCTCAAGTCACACTCCTTGGCGAAAGCTGGCCTGGTCACCCACGCTCCTGCCAACGCACTCAGTCGATGTTCTGGCTACGAATATGCCTGGTATACGTATGGTCTCGAATTTAGTTGTTATGGTCGCTTTTAGTTTCTTGGCTCAATGTGGTTCTATCCTACGTCGGCAGAACTTTCTGGTCCGGACCCCTATGAATGCAATCCTCGGATTCTGGATACAAACCACTCTGGTGTAGTACGCTAATTCGAGCAACAAACACATCACGTACCTCCTGGTACTGTTCTACGTAAAGGACCTTTGGTGGCAACTAAAGGATCAACGATTGCTTCCTGTTCTGCCAACCCTTTCGTCCTACAATCGCACGTTTGCTGATCAGTCCCACGAACGAAACCGCTACGTATCGAAAGTGTAAACCCTTTCTAGCGGGGGGCTCCTGTAATGACCTAATTTTATGAAGAGAACGCGATTGGTAGAATGGAAACACTTATTATTATAACCAATTGTACCAGTGATTGTTTTATTGTACTTGCTTTTTTAAGTGTACTAAACACACACGTTCTTCCGTTGACTGTGACCTTGAGCGAAATCGGTTACGCTCAGTACTTCTACTTGTACTCTTTGGCACGATCTCAGTATTCTTTCGATACCACGAGATTGCTAACAAATATATCTTATTAAAACCGTTAGTTGCTTTCTGGCTTTTGACATACGAAAGGATCCAACCTAATAACTGGCACGTAGTCTCAGTGTAGTGGTGATCATAGTCAACCGCGACCGGACGCCACGCTACAACGCTACAGTTCGAAAATCAGAGATGAAATAATCACAGAATAAAAAGAATGAAGTCATATTGGAACGCAAAATTTAAGGGAAGGTAAAATGGATGCAGTTGTATCACTCTCACCGATTTTGAGTTATGAACTGCTTGAGGCCTCCGATCATTGATCGGAATTATCAAATAAACTTCAACCGGGTAGTCTACACATTAGACTTACAATTATGCATGGCACATGTACCAGTCACCCCGGTCGATAAGAACGCATAACCGATATAACACATTTGCTTAGTATCCTATGCGTAACTTGATTATTGCGTATTCAATTATTTCACTAAGTAAAAATGTAAAGTCAAATAAATAAAATCTTACTGGCAAGTGATTGACCTAATTCTATTGACTGAGTTAGTTCATGTAATAGACCAACTTCTTCGTATTTACTACCCGGTTTTGAACTCCATTTCTTTGCTTCTTGTTTTCGTTTAGCTTTCATTGAACGTCTTTATCGGAACAAAAACAGAATGAGCGTATACAACTAACAACAATGAAAAGAAATTTCTGAGATTTTTCTCAGTATGTATACATATTATATGCACTATACAATGGGTGTAGTGTTTACTTATATCATAAATATAATGGTTGAATTTCTTTGGGCTGTAAAAACTGACAAAATTGAGAGGTATGTATTTATGTTTAACAGATTACTGTCTACTCAGATTTACAAA